CCAGTTTCCTCTTTCATAGTAACTAATGCCATTATAATTGGTTGGTGTTTCATACCCTAGACTATCTACGTATCATGTCCAGGCAAATCTTCGCGCTTTTAGCTTTTTATTCGCATACAAAAACAGAAGTATGCCGCTGGGGTTTTCGAAATTCGGTCACGATTTCTGGTAACCTTTGGATNTTACATAGTCTCTGTGTGCGACTTTAAACCGCATTTTGAAATGCTTGGGAATTAGCGTGCCGGAAGCTGTGACATTGAAATGTGGAGGTGCAATGAAAACCTTTGGAAGATGGCCGATAACTTAAGACAATTGACCTTGACTAAAGCATTCTTGACACTGAAATGCTACTTTACGATATCGTCCAAATATAGGACTTCCTTAGTTCTGAATCGTTACGTGAATTCGAATACTGATGGGAGTATCGTTCAAACTGGAGAAGTTGGTTTCTTTGTGAACTGCCACATTAGCCAATGGGGTTCGGTACAATACGAACACTGAATCTGTGCTGACCATAATTTTCCAGTTGTTAGTTGTACATATATTTTCCCCAGAGACTATGACTGTATATATATACAATCCGAACTAAGCCAAACGGATATGAGTCTTTATACTGGGATTTCCAACCTCAAAAACACCTACGCATCCAAGGTAGTCTTCACAGACTGCTGGATGGTACTTGTGAATTTAGTTAATAGTTTACATTTCCTTGAGGTACATGATGTTCAGTTTGATAAACGCTTTGGAACCAATCTTCTTATGAACAAATTAGCAAGCTCCTGTTAGCACGCTTAACCAACGAATGCCCCAAACTTTCGGGATGATATCCTGTAGTACCATAAAAAACATAGCCAGGTTTAAAGTAATGATCTATTTTACCGATCAATCCGCATTTTACCCCTTAAATAACCACTTCAAAAGCGATTAAAGGTTTTGCCATTTCGGAACCATAAACATCTTGCCTGATATCACACAATCGTCACTAGTAAAGCGCACGTGTTGTAGAAAAAACGCATTTTGCTGATATTTTCAGATGTCAAGTGTAATGCCTATGTCAGGGTCTGTGCCCTGCAACAAGGAGTGCCATGTGGTATTGCCGACTCTGATATAGTTCTGTGATATTTGTAAACACTTGCACGTTATTGCATAAATAAACAAACTCAAACTTACAAAATCAATTAGAAAGAAATTCTCCCTGTCAGAGAAAAAATTTCAGTTTCCACATCGAACTCTCTCGCGGGTAGGGAGCAACAGGGAGCGAGAAAAGCTTTGGGTCCGGATTCCATTAGGAAATCCTGAACTGAATATTTGTGCGTTGTTGAACTGATGCACTTACCCCAGAAAGATGCTTGATTGCGAGATAAATCTGCATAGATATAACATTTCCGATTCAGAAAAGAAGAATCTATGATTACCAAAATGACTTCATATGCCTTAGGGCTACAGAAATATTTTATGAAAAATGTATTATTTTAAATCGTAGGACACCACTTTGGAACACCAGAGATCATACAAACACGAGCAACATTCAAGTTTTGTTCTCCTGCACATGTGCATAATGTATAATTCATATTCGACACAGACGTTGGTGCCATACTTTTGGCATTCCTAGATTATGTCAATGATTCGGATTGCCTGATCGGGTACTATTCCATCGGCGTCTTACGGGAGTGGGATTTATACACTGATGTGATGATTGTTTACCTAAACTATCGCTCCAATCAGATCCAGTGTGCTACTTGCAACAGCTGGCGAGTCAGGTTTCATCCAATGGCATTAAGATTGAACACTTTTTCTCTTTTTTCACTTCGCTAATGTTCCTGATTTTTACAGGTGCATATTTTGAAAATCCAACCGTGCTGTCATAATTGGGTGATCTTACCCGAATACTGACTGCATTGACCTTCTGCAACTGAATGAATGACATTTTCACTAGATTTGTTGGTGCCCTCTCCAATTGTGAATGTGGTTCCTACTACTCCAATTCACTTATTTATTTTCTTCAGTTTTCTGTGTGCAGTCAAAAAATGACCGACGCCGGTATTATTAAGTAGTATAGCATCGTTGTACCTCATAATTTCCTATAAAAATGGCTTCTTCAAATCAGTTCTTGCGAGGCACAAGAATTGTCCTTTTATACAGTCTGATCTAGGTAACTCGCTGTTCCTCAACATTTAGTTGCGCTTCGTATGCATCCTCATTGATTCTGCTGCGTGTGCCCTAATAAGCTCCATCGAAACATTTGCGAAAGCATAAAAACCAATGATCAATTCATAACTCTATTCCCTTGTTAAGACATTTATAAAAATGGGCCCAAAGCCTGTTAAGTTTGCTTATTATTGCG